GTTGTTGTGACAGAAAATCCTTAAAAACTTTCCAAGTTCCTGATTCATCCTTTCACACTGTCCGTTAGCCTGTGGATGATATCCAGAAGTTAGACTTACAGAGACTCCAATTTGCTCAAAAAAGGCTGACCACACCTGCGAGGTTAATTGTGGCCCTCGGTCAGAGACAATGTCCTCCGGGATCCCAAAAAACCTAAACACATGGTTAAATAGGGCTTCCGCCGTTTGGAAAGCCGTGGGCAAGTGAGGAAACGGAATGAAACGTACCCCCCTGGAGAATCTATCCACCACAGTCAGAATTGTGGTGAAACCTTGGGATTTGGGAAGTTCAGTTATGAAATCTATGGCTAAATGTGACCAGGATCTGTCAGGAACTGGAAGGGGCATCAACTTGCCTGCGGGTAAAGTCTTAGGGGTTTTACATTGTAAGCAGATCGAACATGATTGCATGAATGAATGAATGAATGTCCTTACTCATTGATTCCCACCAGTATCTATTTGATATCAACTGATGGGTACGTGCTTCTCCCGGGTGACCAGTCACAATGGAGGAGTGTGCCCATGTAATCAAACGATCCCTACATTTCAGAGGGACATATTTCTTCCCTGGGGGGCACTGACTTGGCACAGAAACATTAGTTAGAGCAGCTTCAATGGCTTCATCTATTTCCCAACGTATAGCTGAGATAATAAGGTCTGGGGGTAAAATGGTCTTTTGGCTATCAGGGTCTAGTATGTGACTGTTTTCTTGGTGTATACGCCCTTGAGTAGAGATGTGAGTGGTGCGGCTTTAGTACTGAAATTTCTAATAAACCTTCGATAGAAGTTAGCAAAGCCTAGGAATTGTTGTAGCTCTTTGACTGAAGTGGGCGTTGGCCAGTTAACCACTGCGTCGACCTTGTGGTCATCCATGAGAACCCCTTGACTACTGACTACAGATTGTAACAGATGATCGATTTTAACAGCCAGATTCACTAGTTCATCTAATGACAAGTCGTCATCTTTACATGCTAGTTCGTTCAAGATGTCGAGTCTGAGTCCTTGTCTAAAAATAACCACCAATGCAGCCTCGTTCCAACCACTACTGGCTGCTAAAGTCCGAAATTCCAAAGCGTAATCCACTACGGAACGAGCCCCTTGTTTGAGCTGAGCCAGTAATTCCCCACTAATTCTTCCTTCATAAGGATGGTCAAATACAGTTTTGAATTCACGTAAGAATTGCACATACGAAAGACGTAGTTTTGAGGCTGGCTGGCCGAATACGTGACACTACTGATATTTTGGGAAAACCTGTAAGATATTTACAAATACAGCAGTAACACAATGGTATCCTGACAAGTGATATTTTCTTATATTTATTTGATTCTTTTAATATTTCTCATTGAGATTATTGTAAGTTTACTATGTAGTTATTTAACTTATTTCTAGACATTTTTGTGTGTTTATAGTGATTTTAGTTAGTCTTTTATCTCACTGTACTGGTAGATAATTTTTCTTGTTGTATGAAACAGGCCAAATTATCTGCCAGTGTAGTGAGATAATTTCACTTACTAAAATCACTTAAAAAATACCTAGAGGCAAGTTAAATAATCTTATAACAAGCTTACAACAGTCTCAACACGAGAAATATTAAATACCTTTACAGGATTTCAGAAGTCTTCATTTGCCAATATACCAATCTTTGCAGGATATAATTTAAAAATCCTTTATACTGTTTGGAAGCAGTACTAAACTCATATTGTGGTCCTACTTGTTCTACCAAAATTCTCCATTAGGAATTTATATGAGTTAATTAGTAAATATAGTAGTTTTATGTTTTTGTTACTGTGTGATGTGATTAGAGGTTGTGTAGACTTACCTTCAATAATGAGATGGAGATAATAAATGCCTCTGTTAATCCCTGCTGAATCAAATGTTTCTAAAATGTATCTTCCTGAGTCTCTTTTCTCTGCACTGTTTATTATCATGGTGCTGTTATCAGTAACAAACTGCCATCTTGGATAATCTAAATGGTTTTGTGTGATTTTTTGGTTTCTAAGTCTGAAAATGCGATCAGGAGCTGTTCCAATCATGTTCTTTTTTAAGACTAAGTCATCCTCAGATGGCAGCTGCAGGTACAGTGGTCGTCCCACAGCTCCATAACATGGATCACTCTGAGTAAATCTACAATCAGGGCTCATGAACAGCAAACCTGCAGAGGAAGAACAGCAAAACATTCTGCCATTAATCTGATACAGTGAAGTGTCATCTACTGTATTCACCTCTAAAACACTTTAAACAGCCTGTTTTTACCAGAGAGCTGAGATTAAACACTGAGTGACAGTTTTCAGTGAAGAAATGAATGTGTAAATGAGTCAATGTTTCTGGGGAGATGAAATAAGGAATGTAAGAAATGTGCAGAAGAATTTAAGATGTTTTAATTGTTTAAACCATAAATATTTTAATTTCTCTGTAGGAGCATTGAAAGCAAAGTCAACAGCAAAGGGGAATTCCACTGTTTTTCAAAATTTCTGCATTAAGTCATTCAGAGTGGTTTGGTGTGAAATGCTCAGTTTTAGAGAAACAGAGTCAGAGTTGTTCATATTGGTGGTGACAGGAACCAGAAATCTGAAGAGTTTAATACACTGCAAATTATCCTGTGTTTGCCAAAAAAAGTCTTAAATCAGGAAATATGAGATTTATTATCTGGTGTTAAATGATTCACTAGTTTCTATCTTTGAATTCACAATGTGTGCTTAAATTGATCATGAGTCTGTTTTTATGCATCAATTTGTCAGAAAATCTTAAAATGGAATAATTTACTGGTAAAGCAAACTACCTTAAATACAGTAAAAACAGCAGCAAAACATTCTCCACTAGTATTAACTAATTTTCTATTAGATTAGTGATCTATTTTCTTGTTCATTGGCCTTCATTTTTTCAGTGTTCTACAATTAACAATGCAAAAATTATGATTTAAGATATTTTTGCTAATATTAAGTGTATTTCACTTACTATTGTGTTGTAGCAAGTCTGATTCTCAGTAATTTGATCCAAAAAACAGCATTTTCTAATTTTTTCAAACCTTTGAACACTACTGATTTTGGGTAGTACCTCTAAAAGCTCCCTCACAGAAAGCTATTACAGGAAGTGGTTATCAATATACAGCCTGATATCTGAAACATAGATTTAAGATAGTTTGGTGAACATTTTGTCCAAAAAAAAAAGTCTTAAAAACATTAATGGTAAAATAATTCCCAAAGAAAAACTGTTTAACATAATCAACATTACATATTAAAACTTAGAAGAAAATTATGATTATGAAACAAGAATTATGATAAATTCTTATATACAGCTTATCAGTGACATTGGCTAACCAGCCCGGACCCTTATAATGTTAGTTTCTGGTGACTGGAATATTAACTTCTATTTTTGCTGACCAACATACCAGCATCCAACACACAACATATGATGTTTTTGCTGGTGTGTCTTGCTGTTGTGGTTTTTAGCAGTGGTGGCAGTGGTGTTTTATACACATGTATAAAAAGAGCAAGAGTCACCTGTTGTTTGCCTGACAGTGAAACCACATTCATTTATACAGTTAAACCTCAGATTTTGATGTTTACTGATCAATTGCCCTTTTTATAATATGTTATAACTGCTATATTAATGATTTTTAAAGTGTTTGTGAGCCAACTAATAAAAAATAACAAACTCATTTTAAACCATTCAAAAATGCTGTATAAGGGTGATCTTATTCTAAAGTGGTACCTTCATCTCTTTAAAAAGGAGACAGTTGCACCAAGCATACAGTTAAAAAGCACAGGAAGAATTCTTGATGTCATATGAAGAGCTTCATTCTTTACAACAGTTGATGCTTGTTTAAAGGCTTTACTTTGAGTGTCAACTTCGACAGATAAAAATCTGAAAATATCTTGATATAATTTTGATGCTGTTGGTTAGATTTATTCCAAGCAGGCAATGAATGCCAAACTCTGAATCCATATTCCATCTGTGTAAATAGAAATGGAGATATTTTGTATTTTTGTGTAAAGAAAATCCTTCATTTATTGAAAGGAAATAAAGACTATGTAAGACTTTGTTTCAAAGGGGACTTGATATTTTAGGTTTCACTGTCATTAGTCTTGGCTTGATCTCAGCCGCCTCTAGACTTGGTCTTGATTTGATCTCGACTTGCCATGGTCATGGACTCAACAAAGGTGGTCTTGACTACAGCCCTACTTCTCTGTTCTTGGTTAAGCGACTCCACATCTTAATATTCTTGAACATTTCTTATGTGACATATCCTTAATGTTAATAATTAGTATTAAACTCTTACAATAGGTTGAGACAGATGCTGTGAGCAGTGCCCCCCCAAAGTTGAAATCAAACCACCATGTCACTGGTTCAGACATATAAGTGATGTTACTTCTTTACAATTACCTTTTTCAGAGTAAGGAGCTTTTAGACTTTGAGGTCTGAAAACTTTTGAAGCTCTCCACTATGGTAGAAGACATTTCAAGACCAATTATTATAAGAACTTAACTGGACAGATTTCCTGCTTTATAAACTCAAAAGATTCCAAAAGCATTGCATTCTTAAAATAAGTGAAGTTTTCTTGAAATTTTAAACTCAAATTTATTGTCTTACATATAAATCTAGTCTAGTCTATTAATCTAAAAATGAAAACACAAAGATTTTCAGGCTCATTAAGATTTCATTGTTTGCAGTGTCACCACATGAGCATCAAATGTTTAACTCCATGGAGTCAATAAAGCAGTTTATTATCATATATGTGTTTTTTAACATTGGTGCCTCATTTTGAGAAGCGTTTTCAGGAATGTATCTTATTTTAAGCAATATAGTGTTAATTTAAGACATTTTTACTTAAGAACAAAGTTTCTCTAGTGTTGAGCTTGAAGCTTATTCAAACATTTTATTTTAAGAAATTTTCTACCAAATAAGGTTTTAAGTTCTTTTGTGACGCTGATTTCCTTGCAGTGTTGTCTTTATCAAGCTATTCACTTACTCTGAAAACTGAGAGGAACTTGAGGATTGAAGGTGTGATTATGAGTGGGGGTCTGAGCCTCTTTATCAGTCACTTCAAGAGTTTTACCTTTGCTTGATTGCATCCTCTGGGTCATTTTGGACATTGGGGTTGTAGTCGGGGTCACAGTTGTAGGATCTGTAATTAAACACCAACAGAGTATCAATTGTGATAAATAGAAAAGTGAGTATGTCACTTAAGTAGTTTTTTGGTGTATAAGTTACAATTTTTAAATGTCCTGCAATGTCATAAAAATAAGGTGACACAACAATATGCTTCTGCCTTATAGATACAAAACAATGGCAAGTCTGTATGGCAAATATGCTGAAATCACATAAACCCACCACTCTAGCTACCCTTCATTACGAAGTATGCGTTCAGTCTACTTTTCAAATCGAACAGCTGAGATGTCAAGCAAAACACGGCAAACTTAAAACTATCAAGTATCCCAGCATCCTCGGTTAAAGCAGACTAAAACAGCAGGCCTGAAAATTTGTTTATGTGTCATTTATATCATACCTTTGATCACTTCCTGTGCAAACACCGAACTCACAGACTAAAGACAACAATCAAACTGCAACTTCTTTAGCACACGCCAACAGCATTAAATTTTTTGGCTTTGGAAAAAAGTAGAAAATGTGAGCAGAAAATGGGTAAATCTCACATTTATAGGTGCCTGACACATCTTTCTTGTTCATTGGCCTTCATTTTTTTCAGTGTTCTAAAATGAACAATGCAAAATGTATGATTTAAGATATTTTTGCTAATATTAAGTGTATTTCACTTACTATTGTGTTGTAGCAAGTCTGATTCTCAGTAATTTGATCCAAAAAACAGCATTTTCTACTTATTTCAAACCTTTGAACACTACTGATTTTGGGTAGTACCTCTAAAAGCTCCCTCACAGAAAGCTATTACAGGAAGTGGTTATCAATATGCAGCCTGATATCTGAAACATAGATTTAAGATAGTTTGGTGAACATTTTGTCCAAAAAAAAGTCTTAAAAACATTAATGGTAAAATAATTCCCAAAGAAAAACTGTTTAACATAATCAACATTACATATTAAAACTTAGAAGAAAATTATGATTATAAAACAACACTCATGATAAATGCTTATAATAACAGCTTATCAGAGACATTGCCTAACCAGCCCGGACCCTTATAATTTTAATTTCTGGTGACTGGCATATTAACTTCTATTTGTGCTGACCAACACACCAGCATCCAACACACAACATATGATGTTTTTGCTGTTGTGGTTTTTAGCAGTGGTGGCAGTGGTGTTCAGTAGGACGGCTGGAGTTTTCAGAGTCTGAGTCTGAAAAGCATGTTTCTAAATCTGATTTGATGGTTTTAAACACTTGGCAGTAGTTTTGCATAGAGGTGAATAATTTCACAGGTTCTGTAGAAAAAAAAGCTGTGCTATCTTAATTTTGGTGCTACTTTAAAATAAAACTCCGCTAATAAAGCATTTATGAATGGTTTACAATGAGTTCATTAATCGTTAGTTATTAGGTCATAAAGACCTTCAAATCATTTATAAGCAGTTACAACACATGTATAAAAAGAGCAAGAGTCACCTGTTGTTTGCCTGACAGTGAAACCACATTCATTTATACAGTTGAACCTCAGATTTTGATGTTTACTGATCAATTGCCCTTTTTATAATATGTTATAACTGCTATATTAATGATTTTTAAAGTGTTTGTGAGCCAACTAATAAAAATGAACAAACTCATTTTAAACCATTCAAAAATGCTGTATAAGGGTGATCTTATTCTAAAGTGGTACCTTCATCTCTTTAAAAAGGAGACAGTTGCACCAAGCATACAGTTAAAAAGCACAGGAAGAATTCTTGATGTCATATGAAGGGCTTCATTCTTTACAACACTTGATGCTCGTTTGAAGGCTTTACTTTGACTCTCAACTTCGACAGATAAAAATCTGAAAATATCTTGATATAATTTTGATGCTGTTGGTTAGATTTATTCCAATCAGGCAATGAATGCCAAACTCTGAATCCATATTACATCTGTGTAAATAGAAATGGAGATATTTTGTATTTTTGTGTAAAGAAAATCCTTCATTTAATGGAAGGAAATAAAGACTATTTAAGACTTTGTTTCATAGGGGACTTGATATTTTAGGTTTCACTGTCATTAGTCTTGGCTTGATCTCAGCCCCCTCTAGACTTGGTCTTGACTTGATCTCGACTTGCCATGGTCATGGACTCAACAACGGTGGTCTTGACTACAGCCCTACTTCTCTGTTCTTGGTTAAGCGACTCCACATCTTAATATTCTTGAACATTTCTTATGTGACATATCCTTAATGTTAATAATTAGTATTAAACTCTTACAATAGGTTGAGACAGATGCTGTGAGCAGTGCCCCCCAAAGTTGAAATCAAACCACCATGTCACTGTTTCAGACATATAAGTGATGTTACTTCTTTACAATTACCTTTTTTAGAGTAAGGAGCTTTTAGACTTTGAGGTCTGAAAACTTTTGAAGCTCTCCACTATGGTAGAAGACATTTCAAGACCAATTATTATAAGAACTTAACTGGACAGATTTCCTGCTTTATAAACTCAAAAGATTCCAAAAACATTGCATTCTTAAAATAAGTGAAGTTTTCTTGAAATTTTAAACTCAAATTTATTGTCTTACATATAAATCTAGTCTAGTCTATTAATCTAAAAATGAAAACACAAAGATTTTCAGGCTCATTAAGATTTCATTGTTTGCAGTGTCACCACATGAGCATCAAATGTTTAACTCCATGGAGTTAATAAAGCAGTTTATTATCATATATGTGTTTTTTAACGTTGGTGCCTCATTTTGAGAAGCATTTTCAGGAATGTATCTTATTTTAAGCAATATAGTGTTAATTTAAGACATTTTTACTTAAGAACAAAGTTTCTCTAGTGTTGAGCTTGAAGCTTATTCAAACATTTTATTTTAAGAAATTTTCTACCAAATAAGGTTTTAAGTTCTTTTGTGACGCTGATTTCCTTGCAGTGTTGTCTTTATCAAGCTATTCACTTACTCTGAAAACTGAGAGGAACTTGAGGATTGGAGGTGTGATTATGAGTGGGGGTCTGAGCCTCTTTATCAGTCACTTCAAGAGTTTTACCTTTGCTTGATTGCATCCTCTGGGTCATTTTGGACATTGGGGTTGTAGTCGGGGTCACAGTTGTAGGATCTGTAATTAAACACCAACAGAGTATCAATTGTGATAAATAGAAAAGTGAGTATGTCACTTAAGTAGTTTTTTGGTGTATAAGTTACAATTTTTAAATGTCCTGCAATGTCATAAAAATAAGGTGACACAACAATATGCTTCTGCCTTATAGATACAAAACAATGGCAAGTCTGTATGGCAAATATGCTAAAATCATATAAACCCACCACTCTAGCTACCCTTCATTACGAAGTATGCGTTCAGTCTACTTTTCAAATCGAACAGCTGAGATGTCAAGCAAAACACGGCAAACTTAAAACTATCAAGTATCCCAGCATCCTCGGTTAAAGCAGACTAAAACAGCAGGCCTGAAAATTTGTTTATGTGTCATTTATATCATACCTTTGATCACTTCCTGTGCAAACACCAAACTCACAGACTAAAGACAACAATCAAACTGCAACTTCTTTAGCACATGCCAACAGCATTACATTTTTTGGCTTTGGAAAAAAGTAGAAAATGTGAGCAGAAAATGGGTAAATCTCACATTTATAGGTGCCTGACACATCTTTCTTGTTCATTGGCCTTCATTTTTTTCAGTGTTCTAAAATGAACAATGCAAAATGTATGATTTAAGATATTTTTGCTAATATTAAGTGTATTTCACTTACTATTGTGTTGTAGCAAGTCTGATTCTCAGTAATTTGATCCAAAAAACAGCATTTTCTACTTATTTCAAACCTTTGAACACTACTGATTTTGGGTAGTACCTCTAAAAGCTCCCTCACAGAAAGCTATTACAGGAAGTGCTTATCAATATGCAGCCTGATATCTGAAACATAGATTTAAGATAGTTTGGTGAACATTTTGTCCAAAAAAAAAGTCTTAAAAACATTAATGGTAAAATAATTCCCAAAGAAAAACTGTTTAACATAATCAGCATTACATATTAAAACTTAGAAGAAAATTATGATTATAAAACAACACTCATGATAAATGCTTATAGTAACAGCTTATCAGAGACATTGCCTAGCCAGCCCGGACCCTTATAATTTTAATTTCTGGTGACTGGCATATTAACTTCTATTTGTGCTGACCAACACACCAGCATCCAACACACAACATATGATGTTTTTGCTGTTGTGGTTTTTAGCAGTGGTGGCAGTGGTGTTCAGTAGGACGGCTGGAGTTTTCAGAGTCTGAGTCTGAGAGGATGTTTCTAAATCTGATTTGATGGTATTAAACACTTGGCAGTAGTTTTGCATAGAGGTGAATAATTTCACAGGTTCTGTAGAAAAAAAAGCTGTGCTATCTTAATTTTGGTGCTACTTTAAAATAAAACTCCGCTAATAAAGCATTTATGAATGGTTTACAATGAGTTTATTAATCGTTAGTCATTAGGTCATAAAGACCTTCAAATCATTTATAAGCAGTTACAACACATGTATAAAAAGAGCAAGAGTCACCTGTTGTTTGCCTGACAGTGAAACCACATTCATTTATACAGTTAAACCTCAGATTTTGATGTTTACTGATCAATTGCCCTTTTTATAATATGTTATAACTGCTATATTAATGATTTTTAAAGTGTTTGTGAGCCAACTAATAAAAATGAACAAACTCATTTTAAACCATTCAATAATGCTGTATAAGGGTGATCTTATTCTAAAGTGGTACCTTCATCTCTTTAAAAAGGAGACAGTTGCACCAAGCATACAGTTAAAAAGCACAGGAAGAATTCTTGATGTCATATGAAGGGCTTCATTCTTTACAACACTTGATGCTCGTTTGAAGGCTTTACTTTGACTCTCAACTTCGACAGATAAAAATCTGAAAATATCTTGATATAATTTTGATGCTGTTGGTTAGATTTATTCCAAGCAGGCAATGAACGCCAAACTCTGAATCCATATTACATCTGTGTAAATAGAAATGGAGATATTTTGTATTTTTGTGTAAAGAAAATCCTTCATTTAATGGAAGGAAATAAAGACTTTGTTTCAAAGGGGACTTGATATTTTAGGTTTCACTGTCATTAGTCTTGGCTTGATCTCAGCCGCCTCTAGACTTGGTCTTGACTTGATCTCGACTTGCCATGGTCATGGAATCAACAAAGGTGGTCTTGACTACAGCCCTACTTCTCTGTTCTTGGTTAAGCGACTCCACATCTTAATATTCTTGAACATTTCTTATGTGACATATCCTTAATGTTAATAATTAGTATTAAACTCTTACAATAGGTTGAGACAGATGCTGTGAGCAGTGACCCCCAAAGTTGAAATCAAACCACCATGTCACTGTTTCAGACATATAAGTGATGTTACTTCTTTACAATTACCTTTTTTAGAGTAAGGAACTTTTAGACTTTGAGGTCTGAAAACTTTTGAAGCTCTCCACTATGGTAGAAGACATTTCAAAACAAATTATTATAAGAACTTAACTGGACAGATTTCCTGCTTTATAAACTCAAAAGATTCCAAAAGCATTGCATTCTTAAAATAAGTGAAGTTTTCTTGAAATTTTAAACTCAAATTTATTGTCTTACATATAAATCTAGTCTAGTCTATTAATCTAAAAATGAAAACACAAAGATTTTCAGGCTCATTAAGATTTCATTGTTTGCAGTGTCACCACATGAGCATCAAATGTTTAACTCCATGGAGTTAATAAAGCAGTTTATTATCATATATGTGTTTTTTAACATTGGTGCCTCATTTTGAGAAGCATTTTCAGGAATGTATCTTATTTTAAGCAATATAGTGTTAATTTAAGACATTTTTACTTAAGAACAAAGTTTCTCTAGTGTTGAGCTTGAAGCTTATTCAAACATTTTATTTTAAGAAATTTTCTACCAAATAAGGTTTTAAGTTCTTTTGTGATGCTGATTTCCTTGCAGTGTTGTCTTTATCAAGCTATTCACTTACTCTGAAAACTGAGAGGAACTTGAGGATTGGAGGTGTGATTATGAGTGGGGGTCTGAGCCTCTTTATCAGTCACTTCAAGAGTTTTACCTTTGCTTGATTGCATCCTCTGGGTCATTTTGGACATTGGGGTTGTAGTCGGGGTCACAGTTGTAGGATCTGTAATTACACACCAACAGAGTATCAATTGTGATAAGTAGAAAAGTGAGTATGTCACTTAAGTAGTGTTTTGGTGTATAAGTTACAATTTTTAAATGTCCTGCAATGTCATAAAAATAAGGTGACACAACAATATGCTTCTGCCTTATAGATACAAAACAATGGCAAGTCTGTACGGCAAATATGCTGAAATCACATAAACCCACCACTCTAGCTACCCTTCATTACGAAGTATGCGTTCAGTCTACTTTTCAAATCGAACAGCTGAGATGTCAAGCAAAACACGGCAAACTTAAAACTATCAAGTATCCCAGCATCCTCGGTTAAAGCAGACTAAAACAGCAGGCCTGAAAATTTGTTTATGTGTCATTTATATCGTACCTTTGATCACTTCCTGTGCAAACACCAAACTCACAGACTAAAGACAACAATCAAACTGCAACTTCTTTAGCACATGCCAACAGCATTACATTTTTTGGCTTTGGAAAAAAGTAGAAAATGTGAGCAGAAAATGGGTAAATCTCACATTTATAGGTGCCTGACACATCTTTCTTGTTCATTGGCCTTCATTTTTTTCAGTGTTCTAAAATGAACAATGCAAAATGTATGATTTAAGATATTTTTGCTAATATTAAGTGTATTTCACTTACTATTGTGTTGTAGCAAGTCTGATTCTCAGTAATTTGATCCAAAAAACAGCATTTTCTACTTATTTCAAACCTTTGAACACTACTGATTTTGGGTAGTACCTCTATAAGCTCCCTCACAGAAAGCTATTACAGGAAGTGGTTATCAATATGCAGCCTGATATCTGAAACATAGATTTAAGATAGTTTGGTGAACATTTTGTCCAAAAAAAAAAGTCTTAAAAACATTAATGGTAAAATAATTCCCAAAGAAAAACTGTTTAACATAATCAACATTACATATTAAAACTTAGAAGAAAATTATGATTATAAAACAACACTCATGATAAATGCTTATAGTAACAGCTTATCAGAGACATTGCCTAACCAGCCCGGACCCTTATAATTTTAACTTCTGGTGACTGGCATATTAACTTCTATTTGTGCTGACCAACACACCAGCATCCAACACACAACATATGATGTTTTTGCTGTTGTGGTTTTTAGCAGTGGTGGCAGTGGTGTTCAGTAGGACGGCTGGAGTTTTCAGAGTCTGAGTCTGAGAGGATGTTTCTAAATCTGATTTGATGGTATTAAACACTTGGCAGTAGTTTTGCATAGAGGTGAATAATTTCACAGGTTCTGTAGAAAAAAAAGCTGTGCTATCTTAATTTTGGTGCTACTTTAAAATAAAACTCCGCTAATAAAGCATTTATGAATGGTTTACAATGAGTTTATTAATCGTTAGTCATTAGGTCATAAAGACCTTCAAATCATTTATAAGCAGTTACAACACATGTATAAAAAGAGCAAGAGTCACCTGTTGTTTGCCTGACAGTGAAACCACATTCATTTATACAGTTAAACCTCAGATTTTGATGTTTACTGATCAATTGCCCTTTTTATAATATGTTATAACTGCTATATTAATGATTTTTAAAGTGTTTGTGAGCCAACTAATAAAAATGAACAAACTCATTTTAAACCATTCAAAAATGCTGTATAAGGGTGATCTTATTCTAAAGTGGTACCTTCATCTCTTTAAAAAGGAGACAGTTGCACCAAGCATACAGTTAAAAAGCACAGGAAGAATTCTTGATGTCATATGAAGGGCTTCATTCTTTACAACACTTGATGCTCGTTTGAAGGCTTTACTTTGACTCTCAACTTCGACAGATAAAAATCTGAAAATATCTTGATATAATTTTGATGCTGTTAGTTAGATTTATTCCAAGCAGGCAATGAACGCCAAACTCTGAATCCATATTACATCTGTGTAAATAGAAATGGAGATATTTTGTATTTTTGTGTAAAGAAAATCCTTCATTTATTGGGAGGAAATAAAGACTATTTAAGACTTTGTTTCAAAGGGGACTTGATATTTTAGGTTTCACTGTCATTATTCTTGGCTTGATCTCAGCCGCCTCTAGACTTGGTCTTGACTTGATCTCGACTTGCCATGGTCATGGACTCACCAAAGGTGGTCTTGACTACAGCCCTACTTCTCTGTTCTTGGTTAAGCGACTCTGCATCATAATATTCTTGAACATTTCTTATGTGACATATCCTTAATGTTAATAATTAGTATTAAACTCTTACAATAGGTTGAGACAGATGCTGTGAGCAGTGCCCCCCAAAGTTGAAATCAAACCACCATGTCACTGTTTCAGACATATAAGTGATGTTACTTCTTTACAATTACCTTTTTTAGAGTAAGGAGCTTTTAGACTTTGAGGTCTGAAAACTTTTGAAGCTCTCCACTATGGTAGAAGACATTTCAAAACAAATTATTATAAGAACTTAACTGGACAGATTTCCTGCTTTATAAACTCAAAAGATTCCAAAAACATTGCATTCTTAAAATAAGTGAAGTTTTCTTGAAATTTTAAACTCAAATTCATTGTCTTACATATAAATCTAGTCTAGTCTATTAATCTAAAAATGAAAACACAAAGATTTTCAGGCTCATTAAGATGTCATTGTTTGCAGTGTCACCACATGAGCATCAAATGTTTAACTCCATGGAGTTAATAAAGCAGTTTATTATCATATATGTGTTTTTTAACATTGGTGCCTCATTTTGAGAAGCATTTTCAGGAATGTATCTTATTTTAAGCAATATAATGTTAATTTAAGACATTTTTACTTAAGAACAAAGTTTCTCTAGTGTTGAGCTTGAAGCTTATTCAAACATTTTATTTTAAGAAATTTTCCACCAAATTAGGTTTTAAGTTCTTTTGTGACGCTGATTTCCTTGCAGTGTTGTTTTAATCAAGCTATTCACTTACTCTGAAAACTGAGAGGAACTTGAGGATTGGAGGTGTGATTATGAGTGGGGGTCTGAGCCTCTTTATCAGACACTCCAAGAGTTATACCTTTGCTTGATTGTGTCATCTGGGTCATTTTGGACTTTGGAGTTGTAGTGGGGGTCACAGTTGTAGGATCTGTAATGACACACCAACAGAGTATCAATTGTGATAAAGAGAAAAGTGAGTATATCACTTAAGTAGGTTTTTGGGGGATAAGTTACAATTTTTAAATGTCCTGCAATGTCATAAAAATAAGGTGACACAACAATATGCTTCTGCCTTATAGATACAAAACAATGGCAAGTCTATACAGCAAATATGCTGAAATCATATAAACCCACCACTGTAGCTAGAGTTCATTATGAAGTATGCGTTCAGTCTACTTTTCAAATCAAACAGCTGAGACGTCAAGCAAAACACAGCAAACCTAAAATTGTCAAGCATCCCAGCATACTTGGTTAAAGCAGACTGAAACAGCAGGCCTGAAAATTTGTTTATGTGTCATTTATATCGCACCTTTGATCACTTCCTGTGCAAACACCAAACTCACAGACTAAAGACAACAATCAACCTACAACTTCTTTAGCACACGCCAACAGCATTAAATTTTTTGGCTTTGGAAAAAAGAAGAAAATGTGAGCAGAAAATGGGTAAATCTCACATTTATAGGTGCTGACACATCTTTTGACCATAGCCAAAGTTTTCAATGCAAAATATATGCATAACACAAAGCTGCACTACTAAAGACCTGAAGCTTGATAGCAGTGGTTGCTAAGCAGTGACTGGAGGCCTGAAAAAATAAAATGGGATTGTTTGATTAGCCTATACCTCACACATCCAGGAATAAGGTGAAGAGTGTAATGATTTTGATTGGCCAAAATACAATGATAACACCGACAGAATACAATAGCAGTCTACTTAATTTGCAGCCTAGTATAATGCTAATTCATGTCTAATGTGGTGTGCATACCTATGTATGTATTTACTGAAGACCGACATCTTCATTTTGTTAGCTGTCCTTGTTTTGTGTGTAAGTGATGTTCAGAATTATTAGGCCTAACTGTAAAAAACAGTATTTATTTTGTAGTGATAAGCAGGCGTGTGCCCTGGATCTACACCTTAATTAAACTTTGATCACCTATATGAACTATGTTAGATTAGTTTATGAAGTAAGTCCTGGTGAGTGATAGATCTTCAGGACAAGTGTTGGGCACCACATGCTGAAATTAAAAACCTAGGAAATATAACAGCATGAGAGATCATTTAATTTCACACATGACCTGCTTTGGGTTCTGCCTTGAAAGCTGTGTCTAATAACACTTTCACAGTTGCATCACTGTTGTTGTTGCTGTTGTTGCTGTTGTTTTATTTCTCATTTAAATCTTTAAAAAGACAAGACTTACCAGGACACTGTTGTAGTTCAATAGTTTTGTGTTCACGGCTAACATGATTTTGTGCATAACAGGTCACATTTCCAACAGCTTCCTTGTCCAGCAGAAGAGTCTGGTTCCCATCAATCAGTTGGTGTGTATGTTGGAAAGTCCAGCTGTAGTGGACATTCTCTCCATCAGAGGAACAAGACACTGTCCTGTTCTCAATGGAGAAGCAGTTGTCCGTCACAGTCACTGAGGACACCACATCTGGAAATTATAGATCGACAGCTCAGTGTAGATTACAGTTTAGTCCAGATTACAAGATAGTCAAGATTACAGCTCAGTCTAAATTACAGGCCAGTCAAGATTACAGCTCAGTCTAAATTACAGGCCTTTCTGTAATACAGGCCAGTCTTGGTCACAATTCATTTGAGTGTGCTTCCATCTATATTACAGCTCAATCTACATTATTTCTCAGTCTAGAGTGTGTTTCCGTCTATATAATATTATATTAATATATTGTAATAAGCTTATAACAGTCTCAACATGAGAAATATTAAATATCTCTACAGGATTTCAGAAGTCTTCACTTGCCATTAGACCAGTCTTTGCAGGATATAATTTAAAATTCCTTTATACAGTTTGGAAGCAGTACTAAACTCATATCGTGGTCCTACTTGTTCTACCAAAATTCTCCATTAGGAATTTATATGAGTTATACATAGTAGTTTTATGTTTATGTTACTGTGTGATCTGATTAGAATTTGTGTAGACTTACCTTCAATAACCAGCTGGAGATGATAAATACCTCTGTCTCTCCCTGCTGAATCAAATATTTCTAAAATGTATCTTCCTGAGTCTCTTTTCTCTGCACTGCTTATTATCATGATGCTGTTATTAGTAACAAACTGCCAACTTGGATAATCTGAAAAGTTTTGTGTGATTTTTTGGTTTCTAAGTCTGAAAATGTGATCAGGAGGAGATCCACTCATGTTCTTCAGTAACTGTAATTCATCCTCAGATGGCAGCTGCAGGTACAGTGGTCGTCCCACAGCTCCATAACATGGATCGCTCTGATTAAATCTACAATCAGGGTTCATGAACAGCAAACCTGCAGAGGAAGAACAGCAAAACATTCTGTCATTATTCTGATACAGTGAAGTGTCGTCTACAGTATTCACCTCTAAAACACTTTAAACAGCCTGTTTTTACCAGAGAGCTGTAATTAAACACTGAGTGACAGTTTTCAGTCAATAAATTAATGTGTAAGTGAGTGAATGTTTCTGGGGAGATGAAATAAGGAATGTAAGAAATGTGCAGAATAATTTAAGATGTTTTAATTGTTTAAGCCATAAATAGTTTAATGTCACTGTAAAAAAAAAGGAGCATTGAAAGCAAAGTCAACAAACAGAGTTGTTCATATTGGTGGTGACAGGAACCAGACATCTGAAGAGTTTAATACACTGCAAATTATCCTGTGTTTGCCAAAATGAAAATATTAAATCTGGAAATATGACATGTATTATCTTGTTTAAAAATTATTCACTAGTTTCTCATTTTGAATTCACGATATATTCTTAAATTGATCATGAGTCTGTTTTTTATGCATCAGTTTCTTAGCAATTCTTAAAATGGAGTAATTTACTGGTAAAACAAACTACATTAAATAGAGTAACAATAACAGCAAAACATTCTCCACTAGTATTAACTAATTTCCACTTAAATTAGTGATCTATTTTCTTGTTCATTGGCCTTCATTTTTTGGTGTTCTAAAACTAAGAATGCAAAAATTATGATTTGAGATATGTTTTGCTAATACTCAGCATATTTCACTCATTCTTGTGTTTTAGCACGTCTGATTTCAAGTAGTTTGATCCAAAAAAAGCATTTTCTACTTATTTTAAACCTTTGAACTCTTATCAGAGCCTAATTCTAAAAATTGTGCTTATTTCTTGTATTTTAGTCTATTTATATTTTTTGGTAGTGCCTCTAAACCTCCCTCACAGAAAACTATTACAGGAAATGGTTATGAATGGATATTGAATGGATATATGAATGATATGAGACATAGTTTTAAGACAATTTGGTAACAGTCCAAAAAAGTCTTGAAAACATTAAAGGTAAAATAATTCCCAAAGAAAAACTGTTTAACGTAACAACACTGATGATAAATGTTTATAAAGTCACAGCCTGTCAGGGACATTGCCAAGCCTGGGGTTCCATTCCTAACCAGCCCAGACCCTTATAATGTTATACAGGGGCGTGTTCTCTCACTGCTCGAGCTCAGAGAGACAGAGAAAGAGTGAGCGAGTACACATGAGAGCATGCACAGGAGGAATGTGTGAGTGTGTGAAGCCCAACTCAAACACAAATATTAAAAATATTGTTTCCTGATTGTTTTTAATCAAGAACAATTTTACTCAATGACCAATTATCTTTCATATCATCTATATCTTTTATATGAATATATATTTTATATTTTTTTTATCTGCTGTTTAAATATATAAAATTTATAGATAAAAGATTTCACTGTTAGTAGGACATGTGAGAGGAGTGTAACAGACATGGTCAATGTGGAGAGAGACACGTCAATTAAAAATCATATTATGTTATGACTATATGCCAAAGCAGTTTTACAATAAACTGGACTGAGCTCCTGATCTTTACATGTCCCACCAAAACCCCTGACCTCTATTACTGTGACCTTTATATTTCTTTTAAAGTTGAAAGATTTAAATTTATCTTAAGTTCATTTTTAAATAAAAAAGTTTATTCAAAAATTGCTGTCTCAGATTTTCATGTCACTACCAAAACACAGAGTTTTAGTCTGTAGGTGGGGCTTTATTGTAGCCACACCCCTGCATTTTACAGCAGGAAGTGAGACTGCATCCCTGTCCCTCATGGCCACACAGTGATCAGTTAGATCCCTTTGTTTTGAAGTAAATGTGTCCCAAAGTCTGAAAATCAGTGTGTAACATCAAGAAATGTCACTACCGAAACACAGGTTGTCTGCAATGAGATACATATTTTTGTGTTTAAATGAAAAACATTATGAATTTATATGTGTACAACTGTTCAAAGCTGTGTTTGCTCATCATGCACTGGTGTTTTAAACTCTGCTGATAATTAGCTGAAATTGTCACTGCTGAAACAGTCACTACTGAAACAATCACTACTGAAACGGTCACTTCTGAAACAATTGGTAAAGTTTTGGTAGAGTTATGATTCTTTTAGTAGTGACAAAATGCAATGCTCAGTCACTTGTTTTAATAAAATTAGCTTAATTAACTTGTAGGTTCACTCAAAGCAAAAGATTTCAGTGTAAAGTCAAGTCAGTTTAAAGTCTGAAATGTGTTTTGAACTCTGACTTTGCACCAGTTCAGTAGAACGATACATATAAATAGAAAACTATCACAAACGTTTTTGTCATCAGAAAGTGTGAAGTTGTTAAATCATAAAATGAAATTCCACTGCAGAAACTTACCCATTCCAGCTTCTGTGAACATCAGCAGGATTCCAAAGATGACCAGCATTTTCATTTAGTCCAGAGAACAAAGATCAAAGCAGCCAGATGCAGCCTCCACTCTGATCACTCTGGGATTTGATGCAACAAAAAATGTGAAAAGAGAAAGCATCATTACATTTATGTAAGATCCCACTTCCTATTATTCTTTTCAAAACATGCAGAAACTATTAAAATTGTATTTATAACTGGACTTTATTTCATTATTTTAGTTTTCTGGAAATTTGCTTTTGGTATTTAGCAAGTCCTTCAAAAAATCATGACACTTTGGAACTTTTTGAACTTTGTTACTTCATGTCTCTGGTCATATTCAGCATGATTCATCATATCATTTAAAACACTTTCCTGTAATCTTCCATCAACATGTAAAGCCTTTTCCCTCCTCTAAGACCTTTTCTGAGTTTTGATTGTGTCACTGTGCACCAAAGAGTTTGATACAGTATGTAAACATTGTTAAAGACATTCACTCCTCAGTCTGTACAATTCACACATAGAAGCTGAGCAGCCTCTTTTGAATGGCCAGTTTCTATGATGTCATATGTAAATGAGAATAATTTGCTCATTTTGAATTTGATTTGAATTTGAATTTACCACTGTGCTACATCTTCTTTTTACAATCTGTAAGCGTTTGAGAACTGAATGACTGATGGCTGTAGTTTGAAAAGTGAAATGTTTTCTTGTTCTTGTTTGATACAGGATTTCAGTTGCTCATCAGTTCAGGGTCTCTTTTGTCATATTTTTCATTTCATTATGTGCCAAATGTTTTCAGTTGGTGACAGGTCTGGACTGCAGGCAGGTCAGTTTAGCACCCGGACTTTTTTACTATGAAGCCATGCTGTTATAATACGTTCAGAATGTGGTTTGACATTGACTTGCTGAAATACTATGAAGCGACATTTGTCTTTTAAGTTTTTTTTTATATAATGTTGATAATGTCAAAATTAAGGAGCCCATTAAGGTGACGTGGTAATTATTTTTAATAAGGCACAGCCACAAATTAATATTTTAATGCCAGAAATTTCTATACTGAGGCCACAAATTAATGTATTGGGGCCACAAGTAAAGTTACTCATAATTTGTGGCCTCATTATATTAATTTGTAGCATTAATATGTGGCCATGCTTTATTAAAAAATGATCACCATGTCACATTGGGCCCTCTATATAAAATATTGGTAAATCTGAAAAATATATTTTTCTTTTCATAGACATCATATTTTCCATTTCAAAGACGTTTAATTCATTTCACATTTTATTCTTTCCAGTCATCATAATTTTAACAGTAGAAAGTTTGGTCAGTAGGGGGAGCAGTGCACTCACTGTTCTACGTCAAACTCCGTCTACAAGCACAGCTGCTGAATGCTGTCATGTTATTGGCTCCCTACCGAAATATCTGCATGATTTAGGGCTGTTTTATGTAAATAATATGTAAATGAGATGCTGGTATGCTGCCACTTGATATATACAGTCACATAAAAGATTTACCGAATGACGATATGTTGACTTCCTAACTGAAAATAAGTGCAAATCCTTCATGAAGAACACATTTCTGTACAATAAGAAGAATTTATGGCATTTTTAAATTTTAAAACTTATGTTTTATGTTTATGTTTTCCGTTATGTTAAACTGAACAAATAAGCAGAAATTATACAGTAACCTTTGCAGAAAAATGGCATATTAAGGTTTGTCCAAACTTTTGCTATATACACACCCTGATCCCTCATTACAGAGCTCACCGAACAATGACTATGTTGTTATTCTAGGTTCTATTCTATTTCTTTTTCTAACACATTTCTGCCAATAATACAGCTCAGTGTATAACATACAGACTCAATTACAACTTTGGTTTGGAGATCATTTCTATCCACTCCTTTACACTGTCAAGCTTACAAGCACTGAACGACCAGTTTACTACATTGTCATGATTCACTGCAAAAGGCAAAATCATAAGATACCAAGATATATTATCTAATATTAAAAACAAGCCCATTGATATGATTGCAAAACAGCTGTAAATTATAAGGTGCAAAGTGTGAACTAAGTATTATTATTCATTAATGAACTAAGTATTATTATTCATTAATGAACTAAGTATTATTAATCATTAAAAAATGATATTAAACAGAAGTGAAATATAAATTACTACTTCTTCACATTTTTAATTGCATAATTCCAAATTGTAAGGCACTCAGTATTAGTGAGGAGTGACCAGGACACTCCTGTGAAAAAAACATTTAAATAAAAGGTAATCAACCTACTGTGAGAGGCTCCCGTCCACACCAGCAGCAGTACAACGATGACCTGCAGTTTGTCTGGTTCCAGAACACAATGACCAACAGACTCTGATCAAAGCGGTAGAAAATGGACGTCGCTTGAACCACACTTTATTCTTCACCCATATAAGGGTGGTAAGTCCGTCTCCCAACTTAAACTGAACATCATGTCAGTCTTTTAGAAAAACAAAGAGGAAGTTTATTTCTGTTTGTGTTGCTTCCTGAGTTCACAACAACTACAGTGTGATTAACAGAAAACTGATGATAATGATCAGCTTTACTGTGAACAATTTGCTTCACAGCAAACATTTACAAAAGTGTACTGTCTGAAGTTGCCCCTTGTTAAAGAAAAATGCATTTTTAAATCATATTTAAAAGAAAAAGCACAAACTTTTAATGTTTACACTTTGAACATACTTTAATTCATAGTAAATGGAAAAAACTTACAAAGTTGTTTTACAAAATTCCATTTTACAAACCAAGTTTTGGAACAACTTACAACAACTTAAGTGAATTTTATTTGTAATTAAGCTAATTGAAATATATATTAAATGTATAAAGTTTTTTGCTTTTGAGTGCTTTTTTCTTGAAGCACTTTAAGTTACACTAAAATGATGTCATTTGTAGTCATAACTGTAATTACACTTGGAATAGATTTTAAATATAAGCCTGGATGTACTGATACACTTCAGTGCTACATGTTGAGCTATACTGCAACTAAAATACACGTATAGCATTTACATTATATTTTGCTGCATTACTAAATACACATAAGTACATTCAATGAATACAATGTGTTTCAATGTACTAACATAGTTAAGAATAGACCTAAAATATTATTAGGAGAAAACACAACTAATAAAAACTAGTACACTTAAAACATATTTTAAACATATATTCTTGGGTATGCCGATGCCCATATTTGAGTGGTATATGTTTATGTTGTTCATGTTGCAACTATAATGTGCTAAAGGACACTTTAAAAGTAATTGGTTTAAACTGAACTTCTAAATAACACACTGAAGTTAATGACAATAAAATGTACTTTTGTTTTTTGTACTTCAGTATGTGAAGAAATAGAAGTGTATTTCCTGCAACATACTAAAATAGAATTTAAAATGTGATACTTTAAGACTATACATTTTACAAAATATACAACAATATATTTTAAGCATATTTCCATGAATTCTACTTAATAAAATATTTTTAGTATTTGATATGTACTTCAAGTATACTCTTAATGCAAACAGTGAAAAAAAGTCTTATTTCTTATTGTGGTAACAATACTGTAAGATTACTTTTTAAAATTATTTTATGTAATGTTTTCTTATAAAAGTGATGATTCTAGGTACAATTTTCTTGAAATAAGAAATGAAAACATTTTATACCTAAAACCACAATGTTTTTTACTTTCATTTTATTGTTTGTGGTTTACTCAGAAAATGAATGGAAACACATTTTTCTTAGTTGAAACACTAGCTGAGACTGTGTGATGGAGCGTCTGATGGTTGTTGTTCTTCTCTGTCATTGTGGGCCAACCTAGGCCAAGAACAAAAGGGGGACAGAGGAGAAGAACAACAACCTCCTCCACCACCTGTTCCTTACCTAGGAGCATCACAGTGAAGAAGGCACTTGAGGTGACCACCACACTAGTATCTTAATGAAAGCTTTTGATCTACTCTTCTATTCTGAAAAGAAGAAATAGCCACAGTACAGAGAGTCCAAGCTTAAACAAGGCTTTACAGCAGACAAATCAGCGTATTATATCAACATTAAACTGCCTTGATGAACACATTTCCACACTGATCCAAGTTTCATTATTCACCACGTTTCCATTTCTCTATCTGCAGACACACACCCTGGACACTTTACTGGAAACCACTTGAGGCTCCATTTTACTGGTCTGCAGTAAGAGACTATACATGCTTAATTTGAAGTAGCCATCTTCTAGTCCTTCATCATTGGACAGTTTCTGACCACAGAGACACATTTAGCTAGGTATTTTTGTATAGTATCCCACTCTTCATTTGACATTGACACTGATAACCTGAGCAGCAACATAAGTTATAGTCTGTAACTGCTCACATATACAGTAGACCTATAAGATGGAGGAGGTGGAGCTCTTAAACTGGTCAGTGAGAGGAAGCCCAAGCTAAGTGTTGACAATAAAGTGGCCCATGAGTGGAAGCACAAGGTGGGTGTTTCTAATAAAGTGGCCAGTGTGTGGAAGCACAAGTGTTTCTAATAAAGTGGCCAGTGAATGGCAGAACAAGAAGAGTGTTTCTAATAAATCTGACCAGTAATTTGAAGCACAAGTATTTCCAATAAAGTGGCCAGTGAGTGAAGTATAAGGTGATTAATATTAATATATATTTTTGAATATATAAATAACATATTTAGATGTTAATAAATATCATATTTAGTCTTACTTTCAGTTGCAAAATTATAACAATAAACAATTAATATTTAAATAGTTTAATAAAAAACAATCACTATTTAAAAATAAACACAATAATCCTACTAAACAATGCAAACATTAAAAATAAGGGTGGTAAAAATATGTTTTTTAGTCACTTCTATGTTATCTAAAGTAATTGCTGCTGATGCATAAAATATAAAAGGCCTCAGCGCTTCTTTTCTTGTTTTGGGCTTTAAGAAAACCGTTACTAGACCTTAAAGAATGATTTAGAACATACAGAGACTGGCAGTACATTATGTACGATGTATGATGGTGATCCATGTGATGTTTTGAAAACGTATCATCATGCAGATTATTATATGGACTAAACTCTTTATACAGTATTGTGTAAAGCGTATCGTGGTTAGAGGTCCAGAATCGAACGTTACACTGTTGTATTACTGGGCATGTTTCTGGCATGGCTGTAGACGGTTTGAAGTAAAGTGTTTCCAAAAACTGAACATTCTGCTCAGCTGAAATATTATTTTTCAATTGATGGTTCAAACTGTATGTGATGTAGAGACTGATGGTAGCTCTTCTTCTCCTCTAATGATGACCTCCTTCTTTTCTTGGCTCAGGTTGGTCTACAGAACCTCCTTCACCTCCTGTTTCTTACCTAGGAGCATTACAGTGGAGAAGACGTTTTAGTGAGCACCACTGTTTCAGAAGGAGACAGCCACAGCACACAGAGTCCAAGCTTCAACAAGGCTTCACAGCAGACAAACTAGCATTTAATCTCTGTCAAAACAAAACCTCATATCTTTAAAAAAACAGGAGAAGAAAAAAACATTAACTTTCAATGTAAATTAATGTAACTGTTATATTCTAAGCTACTTTAGATTGTTTATTTTGATTCAGTCATCATGCAATTTTGACACAGTGTAACCAGCAGATGGCATTTTCGAATTATGTGAAGAATAAAAAAAATAGATACAAGGTTTTGTTCCAAAAGTGAAGAGAGAGCTTCACAGATCTTCATTTAAACTGTCTTGACTGTCACTTTGATCCACATATTCTTTTTAAACGTTTCCGTTTTCATCTGCAAATATGGAATTTCCATGATGAGTATAAAGATCCCAGCAACACTGCTTTGCCTTAAACACTCACACCAGCATCACGCACATTACCATTTCAGTGTCCCCGGTGTGATCAGAATGGTCCACCACTCAAATAGTATTGTGACAACAGCTTGTGGTCTTGTGGTCAGAAACGAATGAATGTGGTTGAGTGTTAGAAAAAGGTAGACATTTTTAATAAAGTGGACACACAAAAGTAATTCAGATGGTCTTTAGCCAATACTTAAATATATGTGTTTTTGTAAGATAAAAAATCAAGTTATATGACATTTCCAGAGTTTTTATTTGCAGTTGTTATTTTATTTCTGGTGACGCACAAATTGTTGACTCACCCGAACTTAATATGTTTGAATAAATAATAAAGAAAAAAAAAAATCAGTTTCTAGTAACTTAACTATATGCATTGTACAACTTAATTGTATGGACAAGCTCCCCTGCACATGCTTGGTCCAACTTCTCATGGCACAAACAGCACAAAAAAGGAGTTTTTCATAAGCATGGTGACTGTTCTACCCATTACAAACATATATAATCCATATAGCTGGGTATTTTGCTTTTGTGACATGAAGAACTCTGCCCGCTTTGTGGCTGTGTTGAAGGTCGGTAGGCACGCACTAATTAGCCAGCTAGCCAGCCAGCTTTTTTTAAGTCTGTCATTGACCATATTAAAACCATTACAAACCTTTTTATGACCTATTTGGCTATTGTATTTTGCTTTTGTGACATGAATAACTCTGCCTGCTTTGCAGCTGTGTTGAAGGTCAGTAGGCATGAACTACGAAAGGGGTATAGAGGAAGAGTGAGTGCTTGGCAAATTAGCTAGCTAGCTAGCTAGTCAGGCATCTAGTGTTAGCTTTTCTGGCATGGACTGACATACCAATAGGTGTTATATCTTGAGTAAAAAGGGATCATTTCATGGCTGAAAATATTTGTACTTGCATTGGCATTGAATTTCCCTGGTGAGCTAATAAAACCTTGTCTTCGGGCTTGTCTACCCTGCAATCTTTGTGTAGCAAAAGACGTGATGAAGATCGCCATCATTGCGGTTGTGGGAACCAAAATCCTGGAGAGTTTGATGTTGCCAGATCCTGTGCTTTGCTGATGAGGGATAATACATGCACTTAAATTGTTTTACTCTCAACAGCATCAAACAGAGACTCATATCTGTCTTGTAATGAAATACAGTAGGCCAAATACTTCAGTGTCTTTCTTTTTTATGCTTTGAGTACAATGCGATGTGAAATCACTGTACAGAATATAAGTAGCCATATTGTCTAATATTTGCTCTTTTTTACTTCATTCAGAAAGACTGACATTACTGAGAAAGAAGCATGAGTTGGGGGGAAAAAAGACTTGAGCTAGTCAACAAACATTTAAATGAATCTTTAGTGATATTAGGCTACAATTGTATTTTAAAATATTATTTTAATTACATAATATAATATAATTTATATATACATAGTTTTACATTGATAACTTGATTTTTTGTTTTCCTTCAACTTAATATCTGTTCATGTTGACAATTACTAAGTTCATGTTACTTAAAAATGCTTTTTACTACGACTGAAAAGCTAATCCACCAAACTTAAAATATTGTGTTGGATCAATGTAATTCTACCAGCAGTTGCCATAACTCAAAAAGACTAATGCAAAATGTGCCTTAAGTTTTTTTGTTGACCCAATGCTTTATTTTTTAGAGTGCAGTGAATGTAAGGGCAAGATAGGTGTTTTTAATAAGAGGCAAGTGTATATTCTCCAGTTTTAATATTAATATATTCTGGTTATATGATTTTTCAAACATATCAAACATATTGTTAAAATACTCCATAATAAACATACAGGTCTTACTCTCAGCTGCTCTCTGTTTCTTGTAGATTCTGGTGTAGATGTAAAACGCTCCAACTAACAGGGACAGCAGGATGATGACCTCAAAGAGCCACACTGACACAAACACCATGAAACCTGACAAACACAGAAAAAGAGAGGAGGACAGAATATAGATGGTATGTTGATGATATGATATGTAAATAAATCTAGACTAGAGGTAAATGAAACTGGACAGAAAGGACAATTATGTGTCAATGCTGTTCATACCTGCACTCTATGTATCCACGATTTTCCTAGACAGCAACATTTACCATTACGCTTTGCTCGTCTTTAGAACGAGAATGGGCACGACTTCCGGTATGCGTTTGTTGTTGACAACCGATAGCGTATGGATCAGCTTCAAGGCTAAAGGGATATATCATTAGTAAGTTACTAAACTGTGAAGCTAGCTAGGTTTTGCTTTTTGGATACAAGAAGATGGCAGTTGTGTTGTGGTGGCATCATGGACAAGAATGTTTAACAAGAACTGTAAATGGTGTTACCCAGTCTGTTCCTCATCCACTGAACGCATCCCAAGTCTGGGTTGACGACATGAAACTGGCCAGATGTTATGTATGTTGACATTATCAACTACCTTGTTTTTGAAGGTCTACACGATGAAAAGCTGAGAAATCGTAAAAGAACCAAAGCTTATAATTATCTACACAGCAATAAAATCGGAAGGGTTCTGTGTTACCATTGCGAACAGTTCACATTTCTCAAAGCTGAGGTACAGCCAGGCCAGTCCGTTGAGAAACCTAACTACTCAGCATGGGTTATGGTTCCAAACAATGGTGTACTAGAGACAGGAGGATGGTCTTGCATCGCTGGTCTGGGCAGATCTTGTAGCCACGTCACTGCTGTTTTGTGGAAGGTAGATTAGGGATTTTAAATGAAACTAGAATACATAGCTAGATGAGATGCATTAACTCTGAGAAACATAATTGGTTATGCTGCCACAGTAGCCATAATGGTTTATTAGTTTAGCACTGCAGTAGCAAAGTATTTCGTAGCCGACTAAAATATGATCAGGTGTGCACTCTTCATTCGCTTTGTTCACCAGAATCTATCTCTTGTGCATTTATTATGTTTTATCACAAAATGGAAGGAGCAAACGTGAATATTTTGCGTTTTTTTTTATTCAGTGCCACTAGCCGTGCTCTTTTGGCCTCGTCTTCCTCGGACACTGACATTCTGATCTGTGCTTGCCTTTGTGTTTGTAGCATTCATTTTCCAACATCGTTTTAAGCTTTCGAGTGCTGTTGTGACACCATCGAACAGCACATGATGTTTCTGTGCTTTTGAGACAGTTCGATTGCATCGGAATTACTCTCGGTGAAAAACGTTACACAGAAGTTTAGCCCATTCCAGAGTAACAGCACTTATAGAGGTGCCTGTATGTAAAAGTTATTATACTCATCATTTAGAAGAAGTGATGTTTTCAGCAACAAAGTGGAAAGTAGTGATTTTGTTTTTTGAAGCTTCAATATAATTTAGTTCCACTACAGTGTGTAACTATGTCTATACATCATACTGTGTCTAAAACAAGTAGAAACAAGTCAAAATGTATTTTCCAGCACTAAAACCACATAATTTCAGCGGAACTACTTCACCGTTTCCAGGGTAATAGCTTAATATTGTAAAACCCTCTAAGGTTTTAAAAGAATTGGAGTGATTAAGCAGATAATGCTGTAAGCAGATATGCTGTAAAAGCTGGACACTTTATCTCTATACATTAAAAAATTATTTGTCACCATTATCTTTCCATGTTATTACCAACAAGTTACCACTACAGTTACTAACTCACTCACTCATCATCTAAGCTGCTTATCCTCCTGGTCGTGGTGGAGTTTGAATCTAACCGAGCACTCTTTGGGCAGAAAGCAGGAAAAAGTTGCTAGTTATTAACATCTAGAAAATTTTCGTGTAATTTCTAGGTTAGTACAACTTGTTACCATTATTTTACCAATTTTATTACCAACTTATGCTACAGTTATTTATTATTCATTAACAACTAGATAACGATCAGGTCATTTTTAGGTTAGTATAATTTCTGTTTTTTTTTTTTATTTTATAACCAACTTCTTACGTTACAATTGCAAACTTGTTATTTAGTAACAACTACAAAATCAGCATGTAATTTTTATTTTAAATGTACTCATTATCATACTATTAATATATCACTAACCACTTACTGCCAATGTTTAAAGTAAAGTGCTCCATAAACTTGCATTAAGTTAGAGGAAATAAACTGGAACAGCAGTAAAAACTCAGAGCTCCTTCAGTAACAGTCATCCTGTTCTAACTGAACTCATGGTAGTGTAATAACAATCCTGGTTATAGCCAACATAGCTAACCAGAGACAAAGCTGACCGCTAAAATGCACAGTTCCTTTATCCTCATGTTCAGAACAGGATGAATGTAAGATTAAACATTTTTGATAGATGGACCTAGAACTAGTTACAGAATAACGTGTGGGGGGCATCTTCTCCCAAGGTGCCCTACAGAGAAGATATACAGCATGAAATTATTAGGGTAAAGGCCCCTATCATGGAATTCTGAATTTTCCTAACTGCTCTGAAATGAGAATCTGATGTTGAATGTAAACACTATTAGAATTTCAGAATGGACCATTCACCTCAGGCCATACAGTCCATATATAAAAACTAAGCTCCAAAAAAGCCTGTATTGGATGTCACAAAAACTGTCACTCACTGTTTAGTCTCAGCTCTCTGGTAAAAACAGGCTGTTTAAAGTGTTTAGAGGTGAATACAGTAGACGACACTTCACTGTATCAGATTAATGACAGTATCAGTATCAGACATTTCCGGTATCAGTATAACTCTTTTAATAGTATCCTCCCATTCACCATGTATCAAGACTGCAGGTACAGTGGTCATCCCACAGCTCCATAACATGGATCATTCTGAGTAAATCTACAAACAGGGTTCATGAACCTCAAACCTGCAGAGGAAGAACAGCAAAAACATTCTGTCATTAATCTGATACAGTGAAGTGTCGTCTACTGTATTCACCTCTAAAACACTTTAAACAGCCTGTTTTTACCAGAGAGCTGTAATTAAACACTGAGTGACAGTTTTCAGTGAAGAAGTAAATGTTTAAATGAGTGAATTTTTTGGGGGAGACGACATCAGGCATATAAGAAACAAGCAACAGAATTAAAAATGTCTAATTTGTTTAAACAAGGGAATATTTTAAATGAATGTACTGTAATCAAAATTTCTGTATAAACTGCTCTCTTACATGTAAACAAAATCATTCAGAGTGGTTTGGTGTGAAACATTCCATTCTAGAGAAACTGAGTCAGAAATGTTCACAGTGGTGGTGATAGGAAGCAGACATCTACAAGGTTAAGAATGGTTAAATTGGTTAAGAATACACAGCCTGATGTGCAAAACATTGTTTTACAATTGTTTTGTGAAGGTTTTTTTAAGATAAAGTATTCCTCAGAGAAAATTCCATTATTTTACAATCATCAATATCGCATAGAAAATCTCTGAAAACTCCTGTAGGTTATCTGGTCATTTTGAATAGTAAATAAAATGCCTGTATTTGTGTTGTAGATATCATGAAGCCTGGTTCCTCTCTCCACCTCTGTAAAGAAAATAGAGTTGGTAACTTTATTCTGCAACAAACCATTTCATTTCATCCCAAACCACTCTGAGTGAATTAGGCAGCAAGTTTGAATTCCACTTTAATATCAGTCTGAAGCTTCGCTCATGCCACAGGAAAAAGGGTTGTGTTCTGCTCTAACCCATGTGCAGGAGTAAAGTTGTCCCAGTTTCCACACCTGCAGTCTTTTTGTCCTAATGACCATGCTCCCAACAAGATCTTACCCTTTCTTTTACTTTGTTTAAAAGGTAACACTTTCTATGAATGTCACATTTGTAAGCGTCTATAAACACATTTATAACATGTTATAACATGCATTCATAAGGCATTATAAACATGGTTATAAATATTTATAAAAACTGAATTACACTGCATTACACTTTATAGCCATGTTTATTATACATTATGAATTGTTAATATAATGCATTATAGGTAGTGTTAATAACATGTTATACTGTCAAAGCCAAAGAAGTCAGTCCCAGCTTGGAGAGTGTAAAGTAAAGAGGTAACACTTTCTATAAATGTCACCTTTGTAAGCATCTATAAACACATTTATAACATGTTATAGTGTATTCATGAGGTATTATAAACATGATTATAAATATTTATAAAAAGGAATTACACTGAATTACACTTTATAGTCATGTTTATTATACATTATGAATTGTTAATATAATGCATTATAAATAGTGTTAATAACATGTTATAATGTCAGTGCCAAAGAAGTCAGTCCCATCTTGGAAAGCGTAAAGACAAATACCAAGCTAACGGTGGTGCACATTGACTTTCCCACATTGGGTAAAACACTGATGGCAGCTCTAGTTTAAACTCTGACATTTAAAGCCTGTAATGTGCTTTATTGTGAATGTTTTAGTGTTTCAGTAAATTCCTCAGTAAATACTTCAACTTGAAGGCTCACTCTGTACTAAAGCCACTGGAGGAGGCTTTAGTACAGTATGCTTCACTTTACTTAGAGCGGATAAATACAACTTATGAGCTCTTATAATTTATTATGATCAGATTACGTTACATTATAATGTATTATGTTAACAATTCATAATGTATAATAAACATGGCTATAATGTATAATGCCTTTTTATAAATATTTATAGCTATGTTTATAATATCTTATGCATGCATTAAAACATGTTATGAATGCATTTATAGATGCTTACAAAGGTGACATTCATAGAAATTGTTACCAGTAAAGACAAATACAAAGTTTATTTATGCCCTGGGATTTCCAATACTATATTTCTCACCATTGGTGCTGTTAGGGCTGCAGTGTTAAGTTAGTGCCAAGCTAACAGTGGTGTACATTGACTTTCCCACATTGGGTAAAACACTGTTATGTGTAATGTTAACAATTTATAATGCATAATAAGCATGGCTATAACATGTAATGCATTTTTAGAAATATTTATAGCCATGGTTATGATTCCTTATGAATGCATAATAACATGTTATGAATGTGCTTTTAGATGGTTACAAATGTGACATTCATAGTGTTACTGTTTAAATAATAATGAAAACTTATAATAACTAATAACTAATCATGAATACTCATAAAACAGAAAATTATATATATATGCTTCTGAATGTAACAGCTTGCATCACAGTGACAGCTGTGACTATTGTTTATTTTGACTATTCTTTTTAAGTATAATAAAAATATTATGGCTTTTTTGACCTTCACAAAAATTTCAGTACCACAGCTTATCAGATCAAATGTATATGCATTCAACATGATATGAATTCAATTTGCAAAATGAAATGTTACTGCAGGAAACTCACCCATGGAAGCTCCTGTGAACATCACCAGGATCCCAAAGATGACCAGCATTCTCATTTAGCCCTTCAGTCACACACAACCTCCACTCTGACCACTTTGACTACTCTGACCACTCTGAGCTTTTGAAATTTTATGATACTAAAAATGTGAGAAAGAGAAAGTGTCTTTATGTTTGTGTAAGAGCTCATTTCATATTATTCTTCTTTTTTTCCAAATTAAAGCATATTTCATTTGATTTTCAGGTCTTCTTTACATAGACACAACAGAACAGATTGTGTCTTAATGCAAATAACATCAATAACATTAATACCTGGGACCTGATTTATTAGTGTTTTTAAACTCTGTGTTATGCCTGACAGCAAATAATTAAGCAGATACACAATGCTTCACTTCAACTCCTTTCAATGATCAACAACCATCAGGAAAAGCAGGGCTAATAACAAAAATACATCACTTCCTGTCTATTTTCTACCAGCCTCTTGACTCACCCTGCTGGTGATTCTGTGGTATTGCACAATATCGCACTGAACACACTTTGTTTATATTTAGTACAGTGCCTGAATATTTTTTCCCTATCAATTTATTTTTTATACATATCTTTGTTTAAATTTATGAATACATCCTTTTTTTCCTCAAATGTAAATGTACAATGTTAAACACATTGGACATTGTTCATTAAAGTTACATACAGTCAATTCTGATCGTAAAATGATGCACACAAATTTCCCCAATAACAGTTACAGTTTTATTATCGATCAGTTTCATCTTTTTGCACATCTGTATGATCAACGAGTGCCTTTAAATTTGAGCATAAACATGTAACAACCTGAAAAATACTTGATATGTGGTTAACTAATCAAACTACAACCAATATAATTTATAATATCAATGATGGGAATAAAAATAGAACATGTGAATAACACTAATAATTTGTGCGCATAAGATCCAGTACAAAAGTGTATGTACTGATTTTACATGAACATTATTGTAAACAAATGATGCAACTATTTCATGTTCCATTTATAGACATTACACTGTGCTTTTGGTTTATAACACTGACTCCGCCCAAAAAACAGCAAATACAAAACACAGCCAGTACTGAAGCTGCAATAATACAGCCTGAAAATAAGTTATTTTAGAAAAACTATCACACTAAACAATCACATCATTCTGTCTAAGAGAAAACAGACATTTTGTTTCTTTCACATTTTATCCTTTCCAGTCATCATGACCTCAACCTCCACCTATGAGCATAGCCATAGCTAAAGCTCCCTACTGAAGCATCCACATTAATTAGGGCTGCTCATGTAAATGATATGTAAATGTGGTGCTAGTAGACTGGCGCTTGATTTCAAACACTGAAGCTCAGATCTCCACTCATATGAAAGCTTTTATAAATCAGACACAGAGCAGCTCATTCATGATTAAATGTGATGAAAGCTCTCTTTTATAAGTGACTTTGATGAATAAGGGCCACTATGTGTGCACATTTGTAGAGGATATATGCACCACAAATATATAACAACAACATATAAAAAAGGCTGAACAGTAATAGTAATACAAAATCAAACCTACTGTGTGAGGCTCCTGTCCACATCAGCAGTACAACGATGACCTGCAGTTTGTCTGGTTCCAGAACACAAACAATGACCAATAGGCATCAAAGCTGTAGAAAATGGACGTTGCTTGAACCACAGTTTGTTCTTCACCCATATAGGGGTGATAAGTCCATCCCCCTACTTAAACTGAACATCACGTCAGTCTTTAAGAAAAAAAACAGGAAGTTTATTTCTGTTTAAGAGTTACTTCCTGAGTTCATAACAACCACAGTGGGAGTTTTAACAGAAGACTGATGATGATGATCAGCTTCACTGTGAACAAGTGCTGTAATTTCAGAGTAAACATTTACAAAAACATTCTGTCTTTAGTTCCCCTTGTTAAAGAAAAATGTACTCTTAAAAGCACATTTAAAATAAAAAGTACATACTTTTAAAGCACTTTGAACACACTTTAATACATACTAAATGTGTTATGGAACAACTTACACAAACTTTCACTTATATATTAATACTATATATATACTTATTTATTAAATATATATTAAATGCATTTAATTGTGCTTTTGAGTGCTTTTTTCTTGAACAACTTCATCTTTAGATATAATGGGTAGTAGTCATAATACTTATTCAATTTGAAATATATCTTAAATATACCCCAAAAATACGCCATGTTTACTTCAAAAATTGTTCTTTTCAATAAATATAGAGTGGATATTTCTAATAAAGGTGGATATTTCTAATAAAGTGGCCAGTGAGAGGAAATACAAAGTGGGTGTTTCTAATAAAGTGGCCAGTGAGTGGAAGTACAAAGTGGGTGTTTCTAATAAAGTGGCCAGCGAGTGGAAGGACAAGGTGGGTGTTTCTAATAAAGTGACCAGTGAGTGGAAGTACAAGGTGGTGATTCTAATAAAGTGTCCAATAAGTGTTTAATTTCCAATATTGATATTAACAGATAATAAATATCATGTTTAGTCTTAGTCTCAGTTGTTGTGTTTCTTGTAGATTCTGATGTGGATGTAAAATTCTCCTACAAACAGGGACAGCAGGATGATGACCTCAAAGAGCCACAAAAGAGAACACAAACACTATAAAACCTGACAAAGACAGAAAAACAAAGAGGGGCACAGAAAAGAGATGCCATGTAAAAATTACAGATGCTGGATGAAACATTAATCATGTGGAAACAGTTACTAATGGTAACAGCAGGGGGTGACATAGACCTTGATTGTAGCGTCTTTTTGTAGTGCTTTCCAACTCTAGTCTTGCTGCTTGGTACAGTAGTGATTGACAAGCTAAAGGCTACATGGCCAACAACCAAAAGAAAGGCAATTTACAAAAGTTTTAAATCAAAGCTTAAAGACAAACAAAAAATTATTCACAAATTGTATGTATGTTATGTTCTAACCAGGCTTTCCTTTAAAATCCTGCTAGACAGAATGTCAAGTAAAATCAACCAAAGTACCAAAAAGCCTCAAATGTTTCTAGGGAAATTTTGCTATAGTGTTGCTGCACCATTGATATTAATGGTGGTTGTTGAGGTGTTTCTTAGGGTGAAGGTTAAGGTTAAGGTTATTGTTCTGAAGCACAAATGCACCATTCCCATATAGGCTTTACAGCACTGCAAAGTTTCATGCTTCTATATTAAAAAAGTCAACTGGTGAAAATGTAACAAAAATAAATAAATCATAGAATAATCATAGAATTCATAGAATAAAAAAGCATAGTCCAGTTGTATAACTAGAAGAATTTCACACTGAAGCTAATACATCAGCTCACTCTAAAATGTACAGTTCAGTGCTTCTGCTCTTGGCTAACAAAGAAGATGGGTCCAAGAGCAAAATGAAGCAGGACTCAAGCAGCTGGAAAAATACTTGATCTAAAAAATGCAGGTTTTACAGTCTTTCTGTAGAGCACAGGTTCCCAACCCTGATCCTAACCACATTTAGAAAGATACTTTCAGCATGATAATGATAAAAGACAGAAGTCTGACCTGTAAGACTATGACACAACATTACTGAATTGCTCCATGAACAGGACAGTCAGTTCCAGAAACCTGACAGTGACAAACCCTGAATCTCAGTGCTATAAACCCTCTTTAGGATGAGGAGGAAGGAGCTGTTCTCAACAAGATTGCTAAATGTACAGGATATCAGTGGTGTAGGCAGAAGTACATTTTTTGGAAGGCCTGTGAAAAAGTGGGCAGGCTAACTTGGTAAACATTATTTTCAAAACGTGCCATGTACCACAATGTTCTAACATCATGTTCTAACATCATTATACTTATTCTGATGTTTCTGCCCTGATAAAAAAACAAAAGCAACACTGGATCAGCTGACATCAACCAGAATTCTGGATTTACGTAAACACGGCCAACATTTTACTCTACTAACCAACAGCACCCCTCAGTCTAAATCACGCATCCACTCAACACAAACATAACTTCCACCCAATAAAGTTGGCAAAACAGTTGTGATGGGAAGGCTGAGAAAATAAGGCAGAGCTTGGCGGAGAGCATAATAACTTTGGTCATAATACAGTGACAGTGTTCACAGAAAATAAATCATATTTCATTATCTTAAAATACGGTTTATTCCATAATTTCTCCATTTGATTGTGTAGGCCTGTGACCAGTTCTACATACAAGAAGGATATTACATATATGCTTCTCCTTTTATATCAGATCTCATACATTGTGTAATTTAAAAAGCTTTATTGACATGAATGTTAGAACTGCAGTATTACATGGAATTCTGTTTAGCAATAAAGCTACACAGAGCACAAACAAGATGACAAGATCGACATGTTGCTGAACATATTATACACATATGAAATGAATAGAACTGTAATTGCAATACTCATTAATAATGAATTAAATTATTAGCTGAAGATCGGTGTATAGTTTTGTATTTTGTAACTTTTTTAAAAGCATTCAGCCATTTGAGGCAGCGTGTCACAGTGATTTTACAGCGATGTTTAAGAGGGTTTTACTAGATTTTGTGTTGCCTAACATCATCCCTTAACTGTGTAAAAATCACAGTAAAGCACAGCCTCTCATTACTTATTGCACTGATATAATTGGCCTCATCTTTAACAATAATAAGCTTTGTTATATAGCACCTTGCACATAGAAATGTGTCTCAAAGTACTTCACAAGGTATAAATGTAAACAAAACCACATGAACATGAAAGCAAGGGGAAGGAAATAAACAAAGAACGATTGAACAAGAAACAATAGTTAAAAAGCAGTGATAGTATTACCATAAAATAGCAAACAAAAGTCGTTCCAAAAATAGTAATAAAATAATAACATAAAACAAATATAATTTATCTGCATAATATAGAAATACAAAAGAACAATGACTACTTAAAAAATAAACACAGCAATCCTAGTAAGTAAAAACAATGGAATCATTAAAAATAAAGGTGGTAAAAATATGTTTTCAGCTGCTTCTTGAAATTATGTACTTAAGCCTGCCAAACTAGACCTTAAAGAATGATTTGGAACATACAGAGACAGGCAGTATGTTATGTATGTTGATGCTAATTCATGTGATGCATTGAAAACTTAGCATCATGCAGATTAATATAAAGACTAAGCTCTTTATACAGTATTAATATTTGTTCATAGATCTTAAATGCTTAAGATATAACATATATGATGATATAAGATATAATCATGATATACGATTAAGATTCGAGATATATGAACAAAAGGTGCTTAAATGTATTTATTTAAAACAGCTGTAGATCTACAAGTGATGTGTGGTCAAACATCCACATGAGGCTTACGTTTTTGGATTGGATTTGGATTTTTGGATTTGTTTCAGTGGACATTACTAATTGTAATCACCAACAGTCAGCAGGAGACTAGAAAAAATTACTTTTCAATGATAGTTATAGGAACCAAATATTACAATGTTCTGCAGCACATAAATATTCCTTTTATAACTGTTGTCATGAGTTTTCATGAGAGACTTTGTTCAGTAATACAACAGTGTCATTTTACCTTTAACGGTAATTGTTTTGACATCAGTTGTAAACTGTGATTGTCAGAGCTAGGCCTCCAGTTTGGGCCATCAATATAAAACTTGGCCAAAACATGAGGAAATAGCCCACTTCTACGATAATACTAACTTCCTCTAATGTCCACTTGGGATTCTAGTTGTTTGTTTGCACTAAGCTAATGGTCATTCACATTATCCTCTTACTGGCACTTCTACATAACCTTTTATTGCACTTCTACACTTTGAAGCTTCTAAAAACATTTAACATTCACGTTTTGGTAGCAGTTTTACATTGATTCTCTACAATTGTCCCCACTGATAGGTTATCAAAACATGATTGGCTGATTCCTTTATCACTTTCTGCTTATGCCAGTAGTTCATCACACTTTAGGACGTTTTAGCTTAATAGAAGTCCTAACTAATAGAATAACTCACGGTAACACTTTCTATGAATGTCACCTTTGTAAACATCTATAAACACATTCATAACATGTTATAATGCATTCATAAGACATTATAAACATAGCTATAAATATTTATAAAAATGCATTATACGTTGTAGCCATGTTTATTATGCATTATGAATTGTTAACATAATACATTATAAGTACTGATCATAACAAATTATAAGAGCTCATAAGTTGTATTTATCCGCTCTAAGTAAAGTGAAGCGTACTGTACTAAAGCCTCCTCCAGTGTTAAGAGTGAGGCTTCAAGCTGAAGTATTTATTGAAGGATTTACTGAAACACTAAAACATACATAATAAAGCTCATTACAGGCTTCAAATGTCAGAGTTTAAACTAGTGCTGCCATCAGTGTTTTACCCAATGTGGGAAAGTCAATGTACACCACCGTTAGCTTTGTATTTGTTTTTACTTTATGCTCTCCAAGCTGGGACTGACTTCTTTGGTGTTGCCATTATAACATGTTATTAACACTATTTATAATGCATTATATTAACAATTCATAATGTATAATAAACATGGCTATGAAGTGTAATTTAGTGTAATTCTTTTTTATAAATATTCATAACCATGTTTATAATGTCTGATGAATGCATTATAACATGTTATAAATGTGCCTATAGATGCTTACAAATGCGACATTCATAGAAAGTGTTACCGAAC